TATTCCTTTGTCACAATTACTAGATAATGAGCGAAACTTCCTCTGAATTATGATTTAATAAGATTTAATAAGTCCTATTTAGACTAAACAGATTGAGAGAACCTTTGAGAGAACTATTTAAATAGAGAGAACCCCTTGAGAACTATTTAAATAGAGAGAACCCCTTGAGAACTATTTATATAGAGAGAACCCCTTGAGAGAACTATTTAAATAGAGAGAACCCCTTGAGAACTATTTAAATAGAGAGAACCTTTGAGAGAACTATTTATATAGAGAGAACCCCTTGAGAGAACTATTTAAATAGAGAGAACCCCTTGAGAACTATTTAAATAGAGAGAACCCCTTGAGAACTATTTAAATAGAGAGAACCCCTTGAGAACTATTTATATAGAGAGAACCCTTTGAGAGAACTATTTAAATAGAGAGAACCCCTTGAGAACTATTTAAATAGAGAGAACCCCTTGAGAACTATTTAAATAGAGAGAACCCCTTGAGAGAACTATTTAAATAGAGAGAACCCCTTGAGAGAACTATTTAGAGGTGTTGCCAAGAACGAGAATGTATAAATACATTACTATACAATAAGAGAACTAAAGCGTATACAGCTTAACTACCAAACAATCAGCTTAATTGCCTACGTTTGGTACACAAACAAGGGGGCTACTGGACGGCAAACTACGAACCTAAATGAGGCACATATTGTTAAGAAGCGGGGGACCAGGAGCTTGACCTCGTCTCAAACAAGGATGGAGGCGCCTCGGGGGGCCTCACTAGTGTTGCATTGTGCAACCGACACACTCGTGATTTGTACCAGATGGTGTAATAATGCTTCAGATGATCCCTATAACACATTGTTTAATGCCCAGGTGGAGTCGAGCGCCCCACGTGCCCACACCTACACGCCCACACCCACACCTACACGCCCACACCAGCAGCCCACACACCTCAACCCGTTCTCGCACTTTCGTATAGTCAATATTGACTTATTAAATAAGTGCATATGTGACATACTAATTTATTGTGGATATTTTAGTTTACCTTGAAAAGCTTCATAGAAAACACCGACCTTACCTAACCTTCTTAGTATGTTAAGATAAGCATCTTATTGCTTCGTAATTACAATTATTACTTAACCTATTATAGGTATAGGTTAAGTAATAATTGTAATTACGAAGCAATAAGAAGCTTATCTTAACATACTAAGAAGGTTAGGTAAGGTCGGTGTTTTCTATGAAGCTTTTCAAGGTAAACTAAAATATTCACAATAAATTAGTATGTCACATATGCACTTATTTAATAAGTCAATATTGACTGTAAGAAAGTGCGAGAACGGGTTGCACATCTCCACCTCTCCCAGCACTCTGTTCAATGACTACTAACTACCGCCCCCTGGGTAGCAATGCAGCTGAGAGCAGCGGCTGGCCAGCACGAATATTTAATGCACTTTACACACTAAGGGGCTGTTGCACGAAATTCTAGCCAAAGTAGTTGCTGTTGCAGTCAACTGACCAGTTGTGTAGTGAAGAGTTGAAAATTACAGGGAATATTGTACGCAGGGAGCCGGTCGGCCGAGCGGACAGCACGCTGCACTTGTGATCCTGTGGTCCCGGGCGCCGGCGAGAAACAATGGGCAGAGTTTCTTTCATCCTATGCCCCTGTTACCTAGCAGTAAAATAGATACCTGGGTGTTAGTCAGCTGTCACGGGTTGCTTCCTGGGGGTGGAGACCTGGTCGAGGACCGGGCCGCGGGGACACTAAAGCCCCGAAATCATCTCAAGATAACCTCAAGAAGGCTCCTGTCTCCCAACTATAGTGAACAGCACGTTCTCCAGGTCTGCCACTCTGGAAAAAAAAATGCACAACCGTTCAGTTCAATCAGAAATGTATGCCCCTAAGCAGTCCACCAGGCCTTTCCAGGCCTAGAGAAAACGTCAATTTACGGTGCTTCAATTTGTACTAACACGTCATATTTTGGGTGGGTTGGCCAGTACCATCTCATCCTGGTCTACGGCCTCCGACGTGTTTGAAGTCCTTCAGATGTTTCCCGTTGATGAGGTCATCTGTGCTTCGCTCAGCCTTGAAACGATTGGTACCTGCACTACTAAGTCCTGTGCTCTCCTCTTTCAATGGTTTTCGTCCTTGTTAAGTATTTGTAGAACAGTGCGCAGTGATCGAATGCTCCCAGCGCCTTGTTTTGTTCACTTGTGCGTTTTCAGTCGTGCGTACAGGTACACAAATGCTAAAGGAATGACAAATAAGACAAGAGAACTGAAGGAATGAATTGGAGATAGATCCTGGCATGATAGCAATAGTAGAAACATGTTTGCTTCGTGATGTGTGAGTAACAGGTATAATTGGTAGATCTCTGCTACTTTTTTCTCTATCCAATACTACATACGGATATTTCTTTCATCTACCTCCACCACCTTTGGCTTCCATGTCTCTTCTTCAACCTGTGGGTCTATTTCTTGCCAAATGATTCACCATTGGAAGAAGCTTCCTATACTTCGGGTAATGCATCTATCCAGTTCTTATTAACTGGATAGACTTATTATCAAAAGTTCTTATTAACCATGTCACTACTTTCTTCTTTCTTGATCCCATCGCTTCCTGTTACTTTGTAATCCTTAGGAAATATTTTAATTGATATCATCTCAATTAGTTTTGTTTCTACTATTGCTATCATGCCGGGATCTATCTCCAATTCTTTCCTTCAATTCCCTTGTCTTATTTGTCATTCCTTTAGCATTTGTGTACTTGTACTTTGCGTGGATGTGTGCGTATTTATGCGTACATGAGAATGTGCAAGCATTTTTGTGTAGATAACTGTTTGCAAGCATGTTTGTACCCATACATGTACGCTTGCTCGTGCATGCATCAGCATGAGCTTGGGCATGCAAACGCATGCATGAGAGGACTGCCAGACATGCATGAGAGGCATCGGTGACATGCATAACTAAAGATAGCAGACTGCGTGTGTGTGTGTGCATGTGAGCAGATCGCGTGCGTTTTTGAGTGCGTGGGCGGTGAATCTGCCGCAGGGAAGATAACTTAACTACCCTTCCAGATAAGGTCAAGATGACCTTAACCACCACTTCCACCCCGTCTCAACCACTGTGGTTGCTTCGAGTGATAAAGATTAAGCCAGCCAAGAGGTGGCACGGGCATGAATAGCCCGTAAGTGGTGGCTTCCTTGCATCACTGTGGATATAGTTCCCGCCGTGTGGGGTAAACAGTCTTGCTGACCTGCATAGCTGTCAGGGTTTACACCCGAGACATGTGTGGGATTACTGAGGTAAATATTGATGTTCTGGGAAGCGAAGACCACCCCAACACATGTGAAACATACCTGGCCTCCTCTCCCACATACATACACACACACCTGACCTAGCTTTACAGTGACGTAGAGCCTTATACTGACAGAGCGTGAGACTGACATAGAGCGTGAGACTGACATAGAGCTTGCCACTAGCAACAGACCACAAAAGGGAGGTCGATGCAGGTGTGGCAGACGCTGCCAGCTTTAACTAACGCCCACACACCTGGAATTATTGCATTAATAACAGTGTCGCCCACCGACCAGGCAGCACGCCCACGCCCTCAAGCACGCCCGTGGCCTCCCCTCCCCGGGGCGCTGCGGGTCTTGGAGGTCAAGCTCGAGCTCCTACTCGAAAGGTCTTGACTCGAGAACATAAGGTTGACCTCAGAACTTCACACGCGCGATATCGTTAGGGGTGTGTGAGGGGTAGAGGGGATGAACAGAGCCACTATGAGAGCATAGAGCCACTATAGGAGCATAGAGCCACTATAGGAGCATAGAGCCACTATAGGAGCATAGAGCCACTATAGGAGCATAGAGCCACTATAGGAGCATAGAGCCACTATAGGAGCATAGAGCCACTATAGGAGCATAGAGCCACTATAGGAACATAGAGCCACTATAGGAGCATAGAGCCACTATAGGAGAAAGATTCTATTTCGTGTTGCAGACGAGGCAGCAGCTGTTCTTGCATAGAGGTTACCTCATTACAAAAACAGGTCAAGCACAATATTTTGATATGTATTATGACGTTTTAGACTCATGCTGTGTGTGGTGGTGGTACATATGTACCCATATATATACTCTGCATACTTTTTTTTGGGGGGGGGGGAGTAAAGAGGAAGGAGAGGCATAGGTGAAGGGAAGTTTAGAAGTGGGAACTACAGTGAGAGGTATGAAAGCTGGCGGGCTGTCCGCCTTGCTGACACCATGTGTGGGTGTTGGCAGCTAAGCTGGCTCTCTCTCTCTCTCTCTCTCTCTCTCTCTCTCTCTCTCTCTCTCTCTCATGTCAGCGGAGCTGTGAGTGTGTGTGAGAGAGGTTCTTCACCCATCCTGTGAGTGGGTGTGTCCGAGGTGTGGCAGAGCGGAGGTGATTGGGCACCCCACAGGATAGGTGCCCGCCGGCAAAAGGTATAACCCGTCGACCCGTCGACCAGTCAACCCGTCGACCCGTCAACCCGTCGACCCGTCAACCCGTCGACCCGTCAACCCGTCGACCCGTCAACCCGTCAACCCGTCGACCCGTCGACCAGTCAACCCGTCGACCCGTCAACCCGTCGACCCGTCAACCCGTCGACCCGTCAACCCGTCGACCCGTCAACCCGTCAACCCGTCGACCCGTCAACCCAGGCAACACATCGCTAACATATCTATCAACATATCATTCCGAATGAAAAGCATTTTAGACATTTCTTGAACAAAAACACACCAGAATGAAAATAAAATAAATATTTTACCTACCCTTGTTGTGGACGGTAGAGGGTTGGGCGGAGTTGAAGAGGGGGGGGGGAAGAGGGGGGAGAGGGGGTGGATGAAGGGGGGGGGGCATTGCCCAATAAGGTCACTACCTTTATCAGCCAGTAGACACCAGGCTTACCTGGCTCAGGGCTCCTATGCAGATAGAAGACTACCTATCTGTTCTAGGTGACTAGTACACTAGGGGTGAGAGGATAGTACTCACCTAGAGAGAGAGGGGGATAGGCTCCTAGTCCACCTCAGGTACCGATTCCTGTATAAACCGGGGGAAGAAAAGTGTATATTAATATACATTTATTATATATTATGTACCCTTTACCCCCAACTTTGCATGGTGAATAATATAGGGTAGGTGACCAACATGGGTCGGGTTTTGGTCGGCCCCATTTCACCTTCTTTAAGAGAAGTCTGCTTCCACTGTGACCCCCCACGACTGTCATGCTGTGTATAAAACCTCACGAATGATTTGTTTTTGAGGGAAGGCAGCCAGAGGGGAGTATGAGGTTATAGGGGAGAATTTACAAACCCCCCCCCTGACATCAATGGGTAATGGAGAAGTAGAGCAACATATTCCCAAAGAGCTGAGGTATTCATCTGAGTTAAGACTCAACACGGACTCATCCCCGCGGGGTAAACACATCATCAAGGCAGACTCACGCCTCTGGTGTGTGTGTGTGTGTGTGTTTACTAGTTGTGTTTTTACGGGGGTTGAGCTTTGCTCTTTCGGCCCGCCTCTCAACTGTCAATCAACTGTTTACTAACTACTTTTTTTTTCTCTCTCTCCACACCACACACACACACACCCCAGGAAGCAGCCCGTGACAGCTGACTAACTCCCAGGTACCTATTTACTGCTAGGTAACAGGGGCATTCAGGGTGAAAGAAACTTTGCCCATTTGTTTCTGCCTCGTGCGGGAATCGAACCCGCGCCACAGAATTACGAATCCTGCGCGCTATCCACCAGGCTACGAGGCCCCCTAATGTGTGTGTGTGTGTGTGTGTGTGTGTGTGTGTGTGTGTGTGTGTGTGTGTGTGTGTGTGTGTGTGTGTGTGTGTGTGTGTGTGTGTGTGTGTGTGTGTGTGTGAGAGAGAGCATCGTCACGGTGGCTCAGCAGACTGTAGCTGCCCTCGTCAGCATGATGACTGAACACCTTCCGTGCTGGGGACCGCTAAAACACCTGCAGCTCGCCTCAGACAACACCCGCAGCAGCTGGGCGTCTCTCTACAAAGACATGTATTAATTATTCTCAAGAGATATGTGTTTAACATGGAAACAATGGACAGTGAGAGAGAGAGACAGGTGATACCATCTCTTAGTCCTCTGAGCTGTGGACGGAAGTGCTGTCTGTCTGTCTGTCTGTCTGTCTGTCTGGCCGTCTGTCTGACTGTCTGTCTGGCCGTGACTAAACTAAGGGGGACGAAGCACAGACCGCTCCCTTTCGAACACTGGACAGTTTCATCCCCTTATGTGTCGACACTGCCAGGTTCGACCCCCACAAAACCACTTGTTACCAAAATCCTTCACGAATCCGGAAGTGCTTAGGTTAATTACCGCGTTTCTAAGCCTGCGGGTGAAAAGGGGGGGGGGGAGGGGAGGGGGGAGTGATTAAGAAAGTATATGTTTACTGTGGGGGGGGGAGGAGGGGTTCTTGGGTAGGGGGGGGGAGAGATCCGGCGGTGCGCGGGTCTCCTTTGCCCTCTCTCCACCATCTAGTCCACTACGGGATCACCATAGCCCGTGCTACTTGCCCCGCTCCTGTGCCAGGTAAGTCCACTACGGGATCACCATAGCCCGTGCTACTTGGAACTTTTTGTAGCCTTTTCTATAAGTATTAACCGAAGGTTTTTTCCCAGCGGGGAAGGAAGCGTGTCCAGATGTCTCGTCCTGCGCGGGAGTCGAACCCTGGTCCATTGGGTTGTGAGCTGACTGGTGTACAGGTTCACTGAGCGCCAGTGAATCTGTGCATCAGTTGATTTAAAGGTGGAGAGGCAGGGCCCAAGAGATAAGAACATAAGAACAAAGGCAACTGCAGAAGGCCTATTGGCCCATACGAGGCAGCTCCTATTTATAACCACCCAATCCCACTCAACGTTGCTGCAAATAGTATATATTTGCAATTATAGATTCGAGATTATAGATTAACCAGATGTGGTTAATCTTAGCAAGTACAGATAGGGGAACACAGGTAGGGGAGCACAGTGATTCACCACTGGACCTAGGCAGCCTTGGAGGCGGTATTACCACTGATGGTGTAGCTTAAGGCCCTCGCTCTGGACAATGGTGGTAGTGGTGGTGCTGGTAGGGGTGGTGGTGGCATCAGGTCTGCTACACCTTTCTTGGGACCCCACCACATCCCCCCCCCCCTACAACCATACAACCCCAGCACCCTCACCGCACAAGCTACGAACACTAGAAGATAGAGAAGATCCCAGATGAGACATGCTCTTGGCGTATAAAATACTGGTAGTCACGTCTGGCCCGAAGCTAGGCTTGGGGGCCTAGGCTTCCCCGTATTGTGGTGTATTTGTAGAATTCTCAGAAATGATTCCAGGCAAAGGTCGGTAATTATGAGACAGCACTAAGGCAGTACAACTATATAACACTTAGATGGAATATGAGGACACATTGATACAAAACACCTATACCCAAACACCTGCCACCACCACCACCACCTCTCACATGCATAAAACATCTGCAAGTAACCTCAGACACCCGTAAATCACCTGCTACCACCCCCACCCACTTCACCGTTACGTAAATATCTGCAACTTTCATAACAGTTTTTAAATGGTCCCTCCAGAGGGCTCTGCTAGAGAAACAAGGCACAGTTTGTCAACACGGACAAGGGACTATATATGTAAGAACCAAGGTGGTTAGGTTTTTTGTAACTCTATTATGTTTAGATCTAGACTTTGCTTCAGAACAGTTATACAAAAAGTTAATTATTTAGGTATCACACATAATTACGTACCTACGGCTAGTTATATGTATTTACTGACATGTATTCTTTAGTAACATAACCATGTTATAGGCTACCTAAGGCCTATATATATATATATATATATATATATATATATATATATATATATATATATATATATATATTTATATATATATATATATATATATATATATATATATATATATATATATATATATATATATATATATATATATATATATATATATATATATATATATATATATATATATATATATATATATATATATATATATACCATCTATTAACAAAATTGATCGAAATCCGATTCTGATTGACAATATTCAATAAAATAATATGGTATACCTGAGCCTATCAACCCGACTCGCGCCAGTTTCCCGCGCAAATGTTTATTTACTGCAACAGCTGACATTTTCCCGCCTTAGCTGACCCGCCCTGCCCACGTTGCCACGTCTACCTCACGCTCCCTCCAACACGGACGTAACCCTCGCAACACTGTGCAGAGGACCTTTATCCTTGGGATAAGACGGAATAAAGGTAAGTATTAAAATGAATATTGGATGTGCAAGAGTATTGTTCTTCCATTTATCGGGAATAAAAGCGCGGCCTTGGCTTACTTTACCTTGCTTTTTTAAGGCTTTGCTGGAGGGTTGCCGGTTGGAAATTGTTAAGGCTCACGCTGGGATGATATTTCTTGATGGTTTAGCATTTATTTGTATTCATGGTGAGGTAATATCAGTTCTGGGTAAGAATAATCATGTTTGGCGCGGGAGGAAATGTTACTTTACTCCGTGGAAAGTTGAATGTGCTCACGGGATAATAATGAGTCTATTGCCTATAATAATTACATCCGAAAGTCATTCTTACTAGTAGGAAAAGATTGTTTGTGTGTGGTAGGGATTAATGTTCGTGTGAAAATTGATGTTACGGAGGAATATTACGAATTTGTGGAAAAATTCATTCTGGCGGGAAATTTTCGTGTTTTGTTTTTAAATTCGTGTGAAACCGTTATCTTTTTAGGCGGGGAAACGTACATAACGGAAGGAAAATTAACGTTATTGACAGAAAAAATTTACCTTTCCTGAAACCCTCCCACAACCAAACCAAAATAAATGACCCAAGTACCCACCAAACACACACCGAAACTACGACGTTGGTACAACGTTCGAACAAGTGTTAACACCACCTAACCAGTTATAACAACCAATATAGCAAGTTGTAACAACGTTCTAATACGTCATAAACACGTTAAGCCAAGATGTAACAACTTTATTACAAGTTGTAACAAGCGGAAAATAGCCAGAGATACGGTTTGTGTTTCCAGGGTAGGAGGCCACGAAGATCATTAGCAACACTGTACACACTATACACAACACTGCGTCATTACTACTTTACTAACACTACTACGGTAGTAATGACCATTGGGCCACACTATATACTGCCATAGCCACACACAAACATTAACCAGGATAACTAACCGCACACAATAATTACCAAGTGATGCCAGCGGTGTAATAGTGACGACCTTTGCAACGCTGCAAATGAGACAATGGGAAGACGCGGGCGCCCGCCAGAGGCCGCCACGTGGCCTATGACGTCACCAGAATGGGGTAGGCATAGGGTGAGAGGGGTAGATAGGGTAGGGGGTTGCCAACATTAGGGGTAGAGGGGAGTTGCGAGGCGGGACCAAAGAGCTAAGGCTCAACCCCACTCGCAAACACAACTAGGTGAGTACAACTTGGTGAGTACTTTAAGGGCCCTGTCAAGGAGCACCAACCACTTCGAGGGCCCTCTGTCAAGGATCACCAACCACTTCGAGGGCCCCCTGTCAAGGATCACCAACCACTTCGATGGCCCCCTCTCAAGGAACACCAACCATTTCAAGGGCCCCTGTCAAGGACCACCAACCACTTCGAGGGCCCCTGTCAAGGAACACCAACCACTTCGAGGGCCCCTGTCAAGGATCACCAACCACTTCGAGGGCCCCTGTCAAGGAACACCAACCACTTCGAGGGCCCCAGTCAAGGATCACCAACCACTTCGAGGCCCCCTGTCAAGGACCACCAACCACTTCGAGGCCCCCTGTCAAGGAGCACCAACCACTTCGAGGGCTCCTGTCAAGGACCACCAACCACTTCAAGGGCACCTGTCAAGGACCACCAACCACTTCGAGGGCCCCACTGTCAAGGAGCACCAATCACTTCAAGGGCCCCTGTCAAGGACCACCAACCACTTCGAGGGCACCTGTCAAGAACATCAAGCCTCCTTCAAGATGTAGTTGATGATTTGG